CGTCAAACTCAAGCCCTGCAGGCCACATCCAGCCTATGGGGTGCCTAAATCTGGCTGTTCTGCAAATACCAAGGAACTGACCCACAGGACCTCTGCTGGCCAAAACATGGCGCAGGAGGGCTATGTGTGCCCCCCCGCACCTCATTTTTGGCTGCTGTCCCAGATGAAAATGAGCCACACAGAAGTCCTATGTGGCTCCCGCAGGGCCCTTTGTCATCCCCGGACTCCAGCAGCACTCTGCCAGCCACAAACAGGGGCCACAAGGTCCCCACACAGCCTCCCCCCGTGCTGTTTTGGCCAGCAGAGGTCCTGTGGGTCAGTTCCTTGGTATTTGCAGAACAGCCCCTTGGGCCAGATTTAGGCACCCCATAGGCTGGATGTGGCCTGCAGGGCTTGAGTTTGACGCTCCTGGTATATAGCATTAAAATAGTAAGCTATGATGAAAAGATGAGGAAGGAGAGAACAAGGTGTGTAAAAGATGAGTTGGGATCTGCTATTAGGCATCCCCCTTGTTGGTCCCTCAAGCCAGCTGGCAGAGCCAGCCCTTTAGTCCCTCATGGAAGGCCAGGAGGGTGGGAACAGATCTCAGTGTAGGTGTCAAGATGTTCCAAAGGGCGAAAGCCACCGCAAAGAGGGCTCTTCTCCTAGACCCTGGCAGCCAAAATTCCTTGACTTATGGGATCTGCAACATGCCTCCTTTGCTGCTGTGGATGGGGCAGGCTCATCCCATTGGGGATAGACTCATGCCCTGCAGGGCTTTATAAGTAATAACTAACACTTTTAATTGCACCTGGAAGCAGAGTATAATGTGGGTCATAGTAGAGGCCCCAAAGCTGGCACACCAACACACTCTGCACTGGTTTTAGATTCTGAATGCTTTTCAAAGGTAGCCCTATGTAGAGCTCATTGCAGTAGTCCAGAAACAAGATGCCCAGGGCTTCAATGAGTACAGAGAGTCCTGATTTTTTTAATAAGTTTTTCAACCAATTAATCTAAATGATTAATTCATTAATCAATGCGTCCCTGTATTTTACTCATTAGTAATGTATAAAATAATGACTTCTCAAAACAAAATAGCTATAATAAAAAGATGATTGTGAAGAAAACTGTAATTCAAGGTTCAGTTATTTAGGAGTAATCTTCACTAGAAGTTATTTCCCATTAAAAGCACTTTTGCTGATAATCACCCATTGAAACCAACAGAACAAAGTGACTGATACGGCTGATTAATTTAATTCAACTCGTTTTAATGGATTTAAAAAAATAATCCTCTCCAGATTTATTTAGAACTCCTCTGACTGAAATTGTCATATAATTGCTGATGAACAAGACCACAAAGCCAATAGACTGAGTGACTTGCAAATGACTCGGTTGCCAGACCTGGTTAATTGGAGCTGGAGCAAAGCCACTACATTTTAAACAAAGAAACTAATCTATCATGGTATTAGAAAAACTTTTGTAAGAAATATATCTGACTCCCTGATAATTATTGTGTCTCATTTAAGGATGTTCTAAGTGTACCTTAGAATAATTTAGAGATAATTTAGATTAGTCTGCCATTTCAGACAGGTTTAAGAATCCCATTTTTATTTTTGCTTTAGTAGTTAGTCTCCTTCAAGTGGAATTCAACTCCTGCTGGCTTTGTCAGACTATCCATATGTAGCATGAGAGAGAGGGGAGGGGAGAGAGAGAGAGAATAACTTCATTTGTGGGGGCAAGTATGCATATACTTGTATGCATATATTACTGCTACTTGCTAGTTAAGCCTTCCACACCCTGACGTTGTCTGATGATTTGCAAGGTATTAACCTATTTGCATTTTAAGCATATCTGTATCTGTATTGTAATGGCAATTCCTTTTAATCAACTCACTGTTATCAAGTCAAAGATGCAATTAGATATTGGCCTTGCACTGAAATCTTAGTATAGATAGTCCTCGACTTACAACCAATACTGAGCCCAAAATTTATGTTGCTGAGACATTTGTTAAGTGTGGTTTGCCTCATTTTACGACCTTACTTGCCACAGTTGTTACGTGAATCACTGCAGTTGTTAAGCTAGTAACCCAGTTGTTAAGTGAATCTCACTTACTCATTGACTTTGCTTGTCAGAGGGTTGTAAAATGTCATCCATGACACTGGTACACTACAACCATCATAAATATGAGTCCTTTGCCAAGCGGTTGAATTTTGGTCACATGACTTGAGGATGCTGCAATGGTGTGTGAAAAATGGTCA